ATTAGAGTGACTAAAAACTAATTTCCCCTTTAGTAGACAAGTAATAAGTTACAGAGAATATCAACTGTAGATGTTATTTAACTTAGCACCAAATTTTTTAAAGTACAACTACAGCCAATGTATAGCTGCCAGTTAGTTGAAAAAGTATTATGATCTTGGGAGTAAAAGGGCTGGAAGCAACAGCATTTCAAACTGCAATTGTTTTGTCTCCTTAGCAAGTAGATAAAATTTGGGTGACTAGTTAGAAGCTCATGTCATCAATTTGGCAACATGGCAGTTACAAAATAAAAATGTGATAGAGTTGTTCATTATTAATAGCTTATTAAGTGAAATAAACATTTCCATAAAAAATCATTGGCAACCTTTGTTTAACTTTGAAACAAATTTGCCATTTTGCTCTCATTTTTTCCATCATCAAGCCTTAAGACATCAGGTGATAGTCAGAAACTGATTGCTTGCCTGCTTTTCCTCTTCTGGAAACTATATACAGATTTTAGGTCACAAAATACTGAGGTTTAAACAAGTTGAAAAACTCACCCAGTCTGAAAAAAATTTTGGTGGGTCATTAACTATTGAACAATATATTTGGCAACATAATTATCATCATCATTGTTGTAACAATATCACAAATATCACATAGACCTGCACAGCAAAAAAAAGTTGTTTAGACAAGTATATATTGTTCACAAAAAACCTGTTACAACAAAATCACCAGGCATCTGCTTGATACTGCTGGTGTTCACTTCCCTTTGATCAAATTATTTTATAAATTTGCAATCACATGAACATCAAAACATCATTATTGATTATAATTTTTACTTTAATTCATAAACAATTTTTACAATCTACCTCAAATCTACTGCAACCACCCTGTAGTCATCACTGAAAGCTTTCAACTGATATCGCCATGAATACCAAAACTACAAGTTCAAAACAAAAAAAATAACTTCTTCCCAACTAAGGATGAGGGCAGCACCGCTCAGTCTGCACTGCCATGATCATGGCAGTTCAGACTGAGCACAGCAAGGTCTGTACTAAAACAAGCAAGGGCCAATATTCCCCAGCATGACTTGAGCAAGTGAAGTTGGAAAGTAATTTATTACACAGCACTCAGACCAAACTTGTTGATTTGAATTTTCTGACTTTCACAGCAAAAATTCACAGCTTAAGACTGTTTCTGTAGAAATGATTTGTTTTGCAAAATTTGTACCAAGTAAGAGCCCATTAGAATGCTCTAATTTACCTCAGGACTATCATGCCAAATAATAATAATGCTTATTAAGAAAGAGAAGATGTAAACTGCTGCACAGAAATGAAAAATTGTCTTGTACAGTACCTGACCAGTAAGTTAACACACCTACAGTTTATTCTAAGCAATCATATTTGTATATAATACACTAAAGAGACTGTAAATAACTGATGCATAGTGTCTAACTTAAAAAATTAACATGAGAGGTTTGAAAATCAAATAAAAACTCATTCTTGATCAAATACACATTATGTTTGAGAGAGAATGGTATGGAATATTTTGTGGGTCAACACAATCTCATTCAGCAATTCATCAGTTAGAAAGAAAGATTTGCATGTTATATGTTATTAATGATACTATGTAACTCTAAGAGATACCCCCGAAAGGTAACATGTCTATAAAGTGATTATTAACACACCTCAGGGAAGCCATGAAGGCAGAGCATGAGTGGTTTTTGTGGATCACCTTTGGCCACATAATGAATTTTTATGTTTGAAGCTGTTCTTAGAAAGTGGTGGGTTCCAAGTTCAGGGTTTAGAAGGCATACTGGAGCTGAGGACACAAAAGATAAGGAAAGCAAACTCATTGAAATACTAAATAATCAATGGCTTAAAAATTAACAATACAGTAAACTTAAAACAGTTTAACACAACTAGTTAGAACAACTAATTATAGCTTACATCTTTATCCAACTACAGATAGTTCAAACAAAATATTGAAGGATATGGCTTACAGTAATAGAGGCTGATAACTATCATGTTCTCTTGAATTTCTTGTCTGCCTTGTGATATTTGTCAGAGAATTTTGACTTAAAACCCAATGAGACACCAATGCAAAATTTCCTTGAATTTCAGTGTTTCAGGGCAGGCAAACAAAACAAATTTTCCTCCCCTACCCACTGGGGAAATCTAATGACTTATTATCTCTCTTCTACTTTTAGTTGTATTTTGTTTTCATAAATCATAATCAGAGAATCACAAAAAACCTACGTTGGAAATTCTGTTCTACATGAGAAATTATGCAAATTATTGATAGGTCCAAGTCTTGAAAGACAGATAGTCGCGATAAAGCCCTTTTTTGGTGGGAAACAAATTCAGTACGGATCGTGGACTTCCACAGACAGCTAATCTAACTTGCATTAAGATCTTCCTCGGATGTCCCACTTTCCACAGCACTACAAAGATCGAACAACATGCTGTAATCGCGTATCCCTGATCGATTATAGGTTCTTTAGACCTCACCAAGTTGGCATGGCTATCTACAGACATTTCTCTAAAATAATAACATAAATAAATGTAACAAGAGCAGGTGATTAAATTATTGCACGCCGTTTTTGTTCCTTCAATTAAATTGAGGCGTATATTTCTTTTCACTCAATCAAAATAACAGGAAATTATTCAAGAAAAAAAGGCGACAATAACTGGGATTGCTCCAGTACTAAGATGGGAAGGGAAGGGGAAGGAATAACCTTCGTTATTAACCACGTTTCATATACATTTGAAAATACATTGTTTATAAGGTACGCTTGGGTAATAACTCTCTAACTAACAAATACCTATTAACAAGCTATGAATTAAACGAAGGACAATTTCACTTAAGATGAGTGATAACAAAATTGGGTTGATTCACTTACGGGTGTCTCTCCGCTTCGCTCGGGAAGGGATTTCAAATCGACGTATTATCTGCCATAAGACTGCGAAGGATGCCAAAAGCCCATAAAATGAAGCCAGGCTGTAGATAAATAACGTCTCGATGAGTTTACTCGCCATACTACTACGCTTCTCGCATGCAGCTGTGTGACAGCAAAAATATGTACCTGTGACTGCTTTGATCTTTGATCGAAGGTCACATGTTATGCTTCCTGTTGTGATCCTTTGTCACGAAATGTTTGCTGATCAATTCAAAGAAATGACCTCGCAGGTGAACTTTGTTCGGAAGAATTGGTCAAAAGAAGCAATATTTTCAAGCTTCTTTTCAGCACTTTCTGTGAGGGGATCATTTTGCTTGAACATTGTCCTGATTCAAAATATGGTTTATTTCATTTGATTGTCAGCTTATCATTTTATCGCAATCAACTACGTTTTGCACGTCTTATGCAGGAGCTAAATTTCCAGAGAACTGAAGAAATTTTCAGCAAAATCATGAAAAAATCCCCCGATTTTCTCTGTTTAAATTTTTAGGGGGTCTCCTCTTCACTGGAATCTCATTATCAGCGAGAAGTCTGGGAAGGGTTGCTTTTAGGTGACGTCATTAATTATGTTGTCTGAGGGCCCGGACGAACTGGGCAAATTTTGTTTATTTTGCGAAAAAATCTGTCACCAGTTCCCTCAGATTTTGTCAAGGCTTACCAAACCTCAGAGACGCCGTCGCTTGCCTCGGAGCAGGACAAATTTTTGTCAGGCGTGAAATCTGACAGATTTGTCAATTTACACGCCATGATTTGAAGAACAATCTCAATCAAGAAAATTTGACCTCTATTTTTGGTCGGAGTATTTCAATCCGAAGCCCGCCGAAATTGTTTCTTAGTTGCGCGGCAATCAAACGGTAAAGATGGAAGATTCCTACCTCGGTATAATGCATAGCGATCCTTACTCAGAATACAACTATTACGGTTCCCAAGTTTACGTTCTAGCTGTCTCTCCGGGGCCAAGTATTGTTCAATTTATATCGGCTAAACTAGTCGACAGCGCTTACTTTTGGAGTCTTTATTTTTGGATGTGTCCCATCGATGTCGCCTGCTATGTTTGGTAGATCCGAAAATCATTCGAACGTTGCGATGGTGGCTCTTGTCTCATGTGGTTGAAATAAGTGGCTAACGAATATTTTCCTGTGTCTCAATACGTCCACGCTTAACAAATTGAAAATTTGGCAGAGACAAATTTAGTCGAGATTTTTGGTAGGGCCTAACAAATTTTGTCAGTCCAGTGCGTCCGGACCCTAATTCCGCAGAAAGGTTGTTGGCAAAGAACACAAAGTGCACGCAACAAGGTAATCTGGATATCCGGTAGTTAATGATAAGTTTAACAAATAAATATGGACAAAAGATCTAATGAACAGGGGATGAATGCCGACCTACACGTGAATACTGCAATCGGGTCAGTTTGTTCTCTTTGCTATCAAGTTTAGAATTTAAAGTCAGTCTTACCAAATTAGAATATCAAACTTGCTTGCCTTTTCCTGACAGTGATGTTTTCTTAAATTTCTGACTCAAGAAACCGTGACATGAAAGTCCTTTCGAAGTGGTCGCATCCACTTTTTCTCCTACAACCTTTCTGCCAACAGCTATAGGCCACTGCTTCCTCTCTATGCTGCAGTGGCAAAACGAACTAAGAAATATCTAGTCAGCTAACACGTTGAAAAAGGATGATTTCACTTCTCAATTAATTCCATAAGGCGTATTTTACTTCTTTGAAAATCAGAGTGCTCTTCGGTCGGAATCAACACTAAAGGTCACAATAGCCAATCAGAACACAGGTACACATCACCAGGAGGTAAAGGAGGGGCAAAGGAGGGGATTTCGGGAGATTTAATCATCTGTTTGTTTGTTTGTTTACTGTCGTTATTCTTTTAGTTTTACTTATTTTTATTGTTATTATTATACTATCATTCTTTTTCTCACTAATAGGGGAAGCAAAAATGACTCAATTCTCTGGGGTCAGTCACAGTCACAGTCTCAAGCGCGTGGAAAGGCGAACGACCACGCGGCGATTACTCTTTGGTCGCATAAAAATAAGCGACTATTCCTTCAAAGTTTTTCGGAGATAATTTTCTTCTTTGATGGTCCACCTTCTCAAAGCTTGTAATCAATAATATCTATGATTCTAGGCGACTAGACAAAGACATTTATTAAGGTGTTGCATGATAAAACTGTACTCCTGCAAGTTTTCCTCTCCGAGTTTTCTTTAGCCATGTGTGCAGTGAAAATACTTTGATTTATATTTATTAAAATGTCGAAGGAAACTGCACACAAACCCTCTCGACTTAAGTCTTCGAGTTTTTATCATAACACATTCCTGAAAACTAACAACTTCAAAACAAAAACATCGTCCATTCTAGAAATGGCCTAGCTCGAGCCCAGTTGACCAGGGGTTTCTAAGTGGCTCCGTTAGTAGTGAGCATCCAACAGTAAGCAGGACGAATCTCTAACATCTTTCTACATCATCTAATTGATAAACGGTTAAGAATATATGAAAGTCATATATTTTCATATACTTTCATTCTCATCTAATTGATAATTGTTATGTGATCTAACACTGCTTCCCTTGTAAGAAACCCTACGTAAAATATATGGAATACTATTCATATCATCCATAAGGGCAAATTTCTCTAAATATTACAAACTTCAAGATCCTGATGATGATTGCGAGAACTACCAATTGATACCAAGTTATCAGTTATTTCCACTCTATTTTCTAAGAACAGAAGACTTATTTCTTCGAAAGTTTTGACAGAAATCCACTTTCTTCTTCGGAACAGAGGTTATCAACGAAAAGGCACCCTGATATGTTCACGTCTTCTCTTAATCTGGTTTCTGTAAAGATTCCAGAGGATGGACATTGAGAAACTCACGAATGTGTTTGTTCACGTCCTCATATTCATCGATTTGGACCCAGTGAGTTGCTCCGTCAACGTATCTGTTAAAATTGAGAAGAAGCGAATGGCGTTTTATCAAGATGACGCTGTTTCACAGGTGAATTTGTCTATTTTCACAACCTATTCAGCTGACGAGAGTAAATTATTTTGACGTTTTAGTTTCGGTAGGTCACCAACACGTTTTAGTGTTGCCTCAGAGCAAAATAAGATGTTTTCGCTATCACTGTTGGGTGAACATATTGTAATCACATTAGGAAACTGACTGACTCGAGCTGTTTACAATTTTAAAAGTTCAAATGTCAGGCTATCAAACATGTTACATGAAAAACCCTAAAATCACGGAAAGGTAATTTCCAGCATTCTGGGCATCTTCTTGGAAGCTTCACAGACGGTGGTAAGAAGTCTTATAGGGCGGCGGTCTAGCGCAGATTATTTTTGAAACCTCCGGATCATCACTGAAAAATTAAAGCCTTACTTGATGGTCAAGTCTTCCACAAAATCTTCTGTTCCTTTCAACGTTTCCACCATTAGAAACGCATCTCCTGTGCCCTAGAATGCAAAGGAAATCAAGGTGCTCCTTTAAAAAACAAGCTGATATTGAAACAATAATAATAACGGTATTAAATTCAATCAATCCAAGGTCCTGTTAGCTTTCTAAGATGAACAACACAATTTTACGATTAAGAATCACACCAGGGAACTAGTATTGGACGAAAAACGCCTTATATCAAGAAGTAATTATTTTACTCCAGAATAAATACTTTTTTTACCTTCACTGTTCAGTTCCTAGTATATACTCCCATACATTCCATTTCTGTCAGAACATCAAGGATGCTCGAGGTTCAATTCCGTTCAAGTCCTGAATCTTTGATTTGTATGTAAATACATTTGTTCATTTTTCAAGTTTCGTGCGAGAAATCAATCAACTGAGAAAACCTTATAGTCACGTACATAAAATTCACACAAAATCCACAATATTGCGGAAAATTTAAAATTCTTCCGCATTTGAAAACAGAGGCAGTCATATCTCAATTTGGCATAGTAGGTGAGTAAGAAAAGAAAAAAAACCTCTGTGATTGCAGATCGGAGACAAACTCTTGCAAACCAAGATATCACCAGGAGTGGGGTGGGGTTTCTTGAAAGTGCAATTGCAAATGTGTTTTCCCAGAGCCCCCTCGGCAGAGAGAGAATATGGTGAAACAAAATATTTCAAGAGCAGAACAAAGGCCCTGTATCCAGGTTGTAAAATGCTAGCGCCATTTTACGCAATAAACACATGAAGCCTCACGCAAATCTACTAAGAAAATCCCAGATCAGTTTTAAGTCGACCATTTCAAAGACGGTTGACGTGTGGCCATCATAACTTTTTAAACTCCCTACCAACGCTACAAGGTTGGATTTTTATTTCTGACTTACCCAAACCACAAGGGTAGGAGCCTTGATCTTGGTTTGAAAGGTTGTGGGAGGCAAATCTCTGTGTGAAAATGCAGCCCTGTAGTAATTTACAGGACCACTGCACCCAGACTGACACATAGAATATTTGTATGCCTCTACATCTTCTTCGTGGAAATTTTTGCCTTCCTGTTAACAAAATAAAGAAAAAATTCCAGTTGCAGTGAGTAAAACTTCCCCTAAAGCACCCCCCCTGGAATAAAAACTACTGTAATAAACCTTGAGTAAAAGTACTTCAGGCTTTAACAAGGGGGTGTAATGGAGACAGTAGATTCTTCAAAAATGGATCTTTAAAGTACAAAACTTTCTGTCCAGGATAGAAGGCCATTCATTCTCAGGTAAAACAGGCTGCGGTTATTGGTAAAAGCAAAATACCAAAATTATGAAATAATATTTTTTTGCCTCATGATTTAGTCACATTGCGTATGGATTACAGTTAACATCACAAGTGACTACATCATCATGCTAACAACATCACCATCTTGTTAAGTCCATTTCTTATACAAGGTTACAACAAACGAGGAACCCTATTTGCTGTTGTTATCATTGTATTCCATAGCCTTATCACCAGACAATTAAGCATGCAACTAAACTTTTAAGAGCTAAAAAGAGACACTAAAAAGAAATAATATAAAGATAATGCTGATCATCATAGGCATAATCAAACATTTAAGTTTCAACAACTTAAGTTAAATGCAACTATCATTACCCCAAAACCTTCATCAAAAACTTTGAAGTCATCCATCTCTAGCACGTACTCTGGAAGGTAAGGCAATTGAAAGAAAAACATGTACTGCAAAAGAAAACAAAATCATCAAAAAGTAGAACCATTGACTTTTGTACAAAAGTGCATTAGGGTGTGACATGAGGCTGATTCTGTCAAAATCTGCTTTTAGTATATATTATAATAAAGTTTGGATATAATGCGCCCTGTCATTGGTTGAAAGAGCGTGCTCCATGAGAGTATAGGGCATAGAGCTGAGCTAAAGCTGTCACACCATCTGCCAAATAGTACTATGTTCGATCTTTTCCAGGACTTCTTTTTAGCTTTTTTTCAATAATTGAAAGTGAAATTTCAGAACAAGCGAGCCGGCAAGTAGCAACATAAGAACCAAACAAAGGTTTGTAAACATACCAGGCGCCCTAATTTATGTTATTAAAATGTGAGCAGATACGAAAAAGGTGAAACAAATTATATAATAAGCTCAGTTATGCACGCATTTTAATTGGTTCTCACTAATGATCTATTGGAGGACAGACGTAATAGATGACATCATTATTAAAACTTTTTTTAATTCTTTATTACATAAAACAAATAGATTCCAAGTTACCCT